GTGGCTTAAGCACACATAAAAGTGAATAACGCTTTAACAAAAGTTTCATCTATTAAAATATGTCATTTTTAATACATATTATTCTTATGTATTTGACTCAATTCAGCTTTGAGAACCCATTAAGACTATCTCCCCAACAAAAAATGAGCATTCCGAATTTTGTAACGTCAGAAAGATGGTGTGGACACAATTATCAAGAATGAAAGCAATAATAAATTAAGAAGGACAATCTAGAATAGTAACGATCTTTACAAGGTTAGGAGTTCAACCAAGGGAAAGAACAATACCCGGTGATTTCAGCGGGAAGTGGCGTTTCGTTCATTGGATGAGCTGCGCGCGCACGCATAAATGTGATTATCCAATATAATTAGGGGAGGGCTATTTGAAGTAGTTTTTGGTCTCAGGCGCGACCCAGGGCTGTTGTCTTGAAGACATTTCGTTGAAAATGAGCCATTCGGCTGATAATTGGTAAGAGTTTGCGATCTTATAATGTATAACTGTTACTCAGACACATATTTTGACACGATTCTGTTGGAAATAAGCTTTGAACCGAGAGATATTCACGATTGATATGCACATTTTTGATTGTGCCATTGCTTTTCTATTGCACAACCCATGTATTGATAGAAGAAACATTAATAATACAGATTGGTTTACCTTCAATACATGGCAGACACTACATATCGGTCTATTAATACCAGTTTGTGCCTTAAATAGTTTTATATTTCCATCCACGGCCTGGAGCCTGGGTGTGTTTGTCTCTTATGTGTATGCTTGTGCATGGACTTCTAATCACTAGCAGAATTTAACATGATGCAAACTCGACATTATAACTCATGCTGTAACATTTTGACTTCGCTGGAAAACAATAGGAATTATTTTTCTTGCCAATCAATCATGAATCACAATCAAAATTTCAGAATGATCAATCAGGCAATGATCCAAATCAAGTTATAACATTATATGATATTCAGCAAGAAGTCCGGTAGAAATACAGAATATTTAAACATCAAAGCTGAAAGTTAAAAGCTAATCTGTCAATTTTCTGTCTGCAAAAGAGCGTCCCAAGAGCGTTTACATTTGACACAATAACAGACTGAGGCCTTGAAATCTAGGATTCCCCAGGAAAATATGACGTCATACTAATTAGCATAAGGATTTCCCTATTGGGGTGGGTCGAGCCTTGTTCGAAAACACAATCCATAAATACATGCTAATTTCTAAGGAGATAGGAAGTGTATAACGTGTTTATCGATTTTGTTTAAAGATTTAATCAATTATCAAATTGTTTAAGTGGATAAAGTGGTCACACTTGCTTCAATTCATAGCGAAATCGACGGATAGAAACTGACCGAATTCCCGATATCCTACCCCGTATTACTGTAGGCTATAAGCACAGTGACCTACAGAGGGCGCTATCACAAACAAGTACTGGACGAACCGATAAATTCCCGGGTATTGTAACGCCCTTGGTTCAACAACATAATTTTGGTTCATAGTCTTGTTTCAGCCCCCACGCCTCTCTTATAATACCCAGTCTGACATTGGTATTCTTAAGAGAATACGGGCACCACAAGACTATCGTTTCTTTATGAAAAACAATTTCATCATGCAATGCTGGCTATATTCTGATTATGTCTGAAAGGGATCTGAACTAACTAGGCAATTAAGTCTACCTGCAGCGGAATTGCAGATTTGATTTATTAGTACTTGCAGGTGCAGTGTTAATAACAGCAACATCATATTTCCTTTTACTACACACGTCATCAATTCATTCCTCAGTGTCCTGGCGCATAATTAGAAAGGACCAACGCAAAACATGGACGTGTTAGATTTCAGTGATATAACCAACCTTGGGATGCTTATATTTCGGAGGATACAAGAGATGCCCATTCCAGTCCAATTAACCAACAACATATCCACTGGTCAGTACCAAGCGAAGGTAACGGCCGTCTCCTTCACATCAAAGATGGCGTACGGGAAGTGTCGATTTCGATATTTTTAGTTTTCATCGAATTAAACTACTTTATATTTGACGTAATGCTTTGATATTTGAACTAAAGCCGACTTATATGACATGGGAACTCTGGGGTATGATCATTTGTTCAAATACCATGCGTGGACGCCACAGTTCAAGGATATTTCCATCTTAAGGGAAGGTAACTGGGATCTTGGTTTTACAGATGATAATATAACTGATATGCGGTGATGCAGTAACGTTATGAGAGTTTATAATGGAGAGCTAAGATGTCTCGTTACCGTGTATTGAAAACTAACATGACCGTAACTGTATCTTACATTTCCAGTTACCTTCCCATAAGCGGTGGAAGATATCTGTGAACTGTGGCGCCCACGCATGATATATGAACACATTATCATATTCCATAGTTCCAATGTCATATGAGTCTGATTTGGTTCAAATATCAAAAGCATTACGTCAACTAAAAAGTAGTTTTATTCGATGAAAACTAAAAAAATATCAAAATCGACACTTCCCGTCCGCCATCTTTGATGCGAAGGTGACAGCCGTTACCTTCGTTTGACCAGTGATATCGTTAGATTTCAGATTTTTTTAGCCAGTATATGATTTTTATTCTGACTTTTTTTGACCCAAAAGAATAGTTTTTCGGCAAATACAAGGTAAATATCTAATAATTTATGCTGTGCCAAATATTTGACCAATCACATAATGGGAAGCTTGTCAATGAGATAAGATACGTGGTGTTTTATAGGGATGGCTTTTGCAGAGGGATGATTTGATATCTGAGTCCCATTTATAAGAATAAAACCTTTCCAATCAATCCCAACGAGTGTAATACCTTTCTACTGCGTAATATCTATTAAATCCATTATTTGAAAAACGAAAAATGCTTGGTAAATGAAACATTAATCATAATTTTATTCCACACTTGGGCAGATATATTTTAGTTTAGTTATAGTAGGTTATTGGAGTTGGGATAATCCCAATATCCTGAATCTCAAATGGAGTCTCTTCATTTTTGAATATTCAATTTTTGCCACTTACTCTTATGCTTTGTTTTGTTGCTCATAGCTTAAATAAAAGCATTCGCGTGAATACAAAATATGTGTTAATAAAAAGGAATATACTGAATTTTTAGGGCAACCATATGCATGACGTACTCAACATATATTCTGAACAGTCAGATCGAATAGGAAAGAACTAAATCATACCAAAGACAAGAAAAAATCAAATTAGTCTAGTATTAGTCAGTGCATAAATGGTATAAAAATGAATGACACCTAAGTTTGTTCAACATGATTTACAAATATACTCTGTCCTTGTCAGAAGTTAACAGTTTAATTAAGAAGTGCACGTGTTTATTTTCACTGTCTAATCCGATGCTTTCAATGATTCATAGTTTTTATACAGTTCCAATCAATATAATCCCTTGGTTGCCATGAGGAGCTGAAGATTTTTTTCATGGAAAACTTCCAATATTCTAGTACGGTTCTTATGAAGTAAAGTCAATGAGAGCACCATGTGTAGTTAACATAAATTGAATAGATGATGAGTGGGGTGAAAATAAATGAATCAAAAGAGATGGTTATAGCAACCTTATTCACTTAAAGGCCCCGGGACATTTGGTGAGGATATATCTTTTCCTCCAGTTCACAAACATAGTTGATAAATATCTAGTAATAGTATGGTTTGGTATGGTATGGTATATGATATGGTATGGTATGGTATAAAACTGAAGACACAAATATGAAAATGAGTTTTTACATTATATTTAGTGAGGTTTTATTAGTTTATACGTGATCCAAAGGAGGCCTTTTGAGCGGCGTTGTATATAAGTATATCTGACGATCTTAAAGGCCATCCTTGGTCCAAGGGTATTTCAATTTATTCCATTAGCTGGGACATCTTGAAGGATGCTTAAAGATACATTGTGTCTTTAATATCAGACATGATGCAGAGTTGCATATCAAATCTTCACAAGTATTATGAAACACATGTAAATATTATTAGATGAATCATCTTGGGTGGATTTGAAAACAGGCATAATATTGAATAACAGGACACATATTTTTTCTAATTTCGAAATTGTTTTCCTTCTGCATGACTCTTATTAAAATGTCTAATACGCTTATTCGTTACTCCGCGGTGGTACAAATTACGTCAATAACTGGCCATGTATCAAATGTCGTTATTATCACATTACTAGCATACGTGATGCCATCGTGACGGATATACATCACATTCTTGACAAGTATGCTGAGGACAAAATGGATTGTAATTGCATGTTTGTCTCTCGTATTGTCTCACGTATACCCTCTTGTACAAGTTTGCCTCACACGTCATTCACATTTCTATGTTTCCACCCCACTTGTCTTAAGTCAAGCCCCTGTGCATCTCAGGAGAGGATGGCAGATGCTAAATTTAGGACTTCCTGCCTTCCTTCCCACAATCATATATGCAGTGCCTCTTGACGTCTTCATAGCCCATTCTAAAACACAGATTTCCCTTCAACCATACGCACATCTTACTACCCGCTTTCTTTCCCCCCACTGCATGTGTATGTACATGTTCATCGTGCTCATCTACGACATTTCAAATCTTGTATCAAATCTCTCGGTCGCACCACGCCCTCCCCCTGACAATGAAATGGTTGCTGATGAGATAAAACAGCGAAGGGGGCTAGGATACTGTAACCATGGTATCATAATTACAAACATCAAGAAAGTGACCTTCAAACTTACTTGTTTTTAGCCATCTCACGTTTGGATAAAGTTTTATGATTGCATGTCATGGTTGTTTTCTGCAACGATGTATATAATGTCTACGATTAGAGAGTAGTTATACTCATAATTTGATTATAATGAATAGTCGGAATTATGATATACTACACAACATAAAGAAAATCTATAAATGAGGCACAAAAACATCTTCGATATTTGTAGAGTTCCTGCAAGCTACAGCATAATAAACTCCATATAATTAGGAATTAAAAAATGTGTGTATATGTAAATCTACTCACCAAAAATAAGTTACAAAATAGAGCTGTTATATTTTCCGTGAGGATATCACAGATTTCACAAGATATGTTCCGTATCCACCGAGAGTCCTCCAAAGTTGTTTCCCGTTCTTGTTACTCGTTCTTTATGGAATAGTGTTAGATGACAATTCCTAAGACTAAATTGGTTTTCACAGATTGTAAATTTCTTAGAAGCTAATTTAATTTGGCGATATTCAGCTAAGTTGTTAAAGGTCCTGTGTATATCAGCATCTGATCTGAATGATTTAGTAGTCTGCAGATATAGACCTTTGAGAGATCGAGATCGCAATAGGTCTTATTATCTAATAAATGACAGTACGTTAGATGTTATCCAAACACAATACGACATAGATATGCTTGCTCACATTATTGGGTATTTAAATATTACGGCTTGATCAATATCCGTAGCGTCTACCATAGTAGCATTGAGTCACGCCCACTTCTTCAATATAGTCACCATAGTTTAATAAGCCCTTTTACTTGTATCCCTTTCTTGTCTCTCTACCCCCTTCACATGTCTGTTTTACCATCACCATTTTCTTGTATGCCTTTCTACCCAATCTCTACCCTATCTACTTGTATGTCTCTGCACCCAATTTACTTGTATGTCTCTCTACCAAATGTACTTGTATGTCTCTCTATCCTATCTACTTGTATGTCTCTGCACCCAATTTACTTGTATGTCTCTCTACCCTATCTACTTGTATGTCTCTGCACCCAATTAACTTGTATGTCTCTCTACCCAATTCACTTGTATGTCTCTGCACCCAATTTACTTATATGTCTCTACCCAATGTATTTGCATGTCTCTGCACCCAATTTACTTGTATGTCTCTGCACCCAATTTACTTGTATGTCTCTCTACCCTATGCACTTGTATGTCTCTCTGCCCAATGTATTTGTATGCCTCTGCACCCAATTTACTTGTATGTCTCTACCCAATGTATTTGCTGTCTCTGCACCCAATTTACTTGTATGTCTCTGCACCCAATTTACTTGTATGTCTCTCTACCCAATGCACTTGTTTGTCTCTCTATCCAAATTACTTGTATGTCTCACTATCCAACGTACTTGTATGTCTCTGCACCCAATTCACTTGTATGTCTTTGCAGCCAATTTACTAGTATGTCTCTCTACCCTATGTACTTGTATGTCTCTCTGCCCAATGTATTTTTATGCCTCTGCACCCAATTTACTTGTATGTCTCTCTACACAATATATTTGTATATCTCTCTACCCAGTTTACTTGTATGTATTTGCACACAATTCACTTGTATATCTCTCTACCCAATTTACTTGTATGTCTCTCTACCCAATCTACTTGTATGTCTCTGCTCCCATTTTACTTGTACGTTTCTCTACCCAATCTACTTGAATGTATCTGCAAACAAATTTACTTCTATGTCTCCCTACCCAGTGTTCTTTTATGTCTCTCTATTCAATTTACATATATCTCTCTTATCCCATTCACGTGTGTGTTTTATACCCAATTTACTTCCATGCTTCTCTCCCAATTTACTTGTATCTCTCTTTATCTAATTTACTTGTATGTTTCTTTACTCAATTTACTTGTCTACCTACCCAATTCACGTGTATGCCTATCTACCGCATTTAGGTGTATGCTCCACTACTAACCAATTCCCTAGTATGTCTCTCTACCCAATTAACTTGTCTCTTTCTTGCATGTTTTTCTTCCCAAATTCCTTGTTTTTCGTCCTACCCAATTTACTTGTGTGTCGTTCTACTCAATTTATTTGTATGTCTCTCTAACCAACTTACTTGTTTGTACTCAATTTACTTGTATGCCTCTACCCAAGTTAGTTGTGTGTCCCTCTACCCAATTTATTTGTATGTTTCTCGAGCCAACTTACTTGTTTGTCATTCAATCCAATTTACTTGTATGTCTCTCTACCCAATTTATTTGTATGTTTTTCTCCCCTGTTTACCTATCACCAACTATCTTTGCCAAATCAAGCTTTACGAGTCTATCTCAGAGAGAATTCTTATTGTAAAAGATTACATGCTACTATAAGTACCTTTCTAGTTTGCAAATAGTCTCTAGCCTCTGTGACTCCCCCCCCCCTCATTACTTGACTAAACATCTTCTCACACAGCTTGTTGCTTGTTGGCAAGAGCTTAGAGCTAGATTAGTTTGCAAACCAAAAGATGTGATGAGGATATTATCCTTATAGAATTATTATCAGCGTTTTGCATCACACCTCGCCTCCAAATGCCTTTGTCGTATAACAAAGGGAGTTGATATTGGCCCATCTCTGAGCAAAATAAAAAAAGAAAATAACGGAAAGGGATTTACTTTGTATAAGGTATATTTTTATTGGTAAATTGTTTATAATAGAAGTGTAGTAGTTAACTAAACAATAAAATAAATAAAAATACATTAAGACCGACTCTAGCTACCAGCCTGTGTATTCATGCATATTGGATATTTGCCGAAAGTTATTGACATTTTTTAGTTTGGTCCATAGGAAATCAATGCACACTGTTTGTGATAGACATTCAAATTACACCTTAATACTACGGTAAGATTTCGCTATATTATCTTTTCCTAATGTATCAATTTCATCAATCCAATGGCAGTGTGTCTCTTGGAATTGATTGACTCTCTACCTAAGTACATTACAGTCTCGATCCAATATTATCAACCTCATAGGTAACTATTTAATGACACGATACAGAAAATCTTGTTACGATTTAATTACAGAATTAATTTTGGACTCATGCAACAGATATGCTAAAGCAATGTACATTCAAGTTGTAAACTGGTAATTTAAAAACACTGCCCCAGTACTCTTCTCGATTCATCCACATCCCCATGTACTCGATATTGTACTTACTATGGATCTGACACACAGTGAAGTGTGGCTTATGAGAGACGTGACACTTCTAGTTAATATGGTCTTTGGTGGCGATGACATAACGACATAAGATGTTTTTCCACTTATGACATGTTCCTTACTAGTCACGATGTCGTAATATAAGAGAGTAGTTGAATTTGACAGTAAGGAAAGGGTATCTGTGCTCCACTGACATTTTCTAGTCATGACTAAAAAGCAAAAGGCGAGCCCTTTTCGTAGAAGTTGATTAATTCCCCCTTTTTAACCCAATGTAGACTGAGCGTTCAAAAAGCTCGATGCTTATACATTAGTGCTTGGTGTGTATTACTGTGTAAGTGGGGCTAGTGCTTATTCTTAAATTTGTTGTTTCTTATTAAACTAATTGACAGTGTTTGGTCTTTATTTGTATCCATATCAACACACAACGTGTATGGGCGAAGGGGAGCCACTTGTCTTAAAACGTTAATGCAAAAATATCATTCAGAATTTTTCCAATAAAAACTATTGATATAAGTCCATTTAGTGATCTGTATCTCATTTAGCATTTTGCCAGATCCATCAAAGAAATCGATCATGATGTTAATGAGTGACATCTTTAAATACTTATAATACCATAAATGAAATGATGTAGCATTGACAGCGCACATCCTTCGGCACATCTATTCCGTCGGGTTGCTACGCCGTTGTGAGTCAAAAATTCAACAGCCGTCGTTAAAAAGGGAATGTGCAGCTGCTTTTGATCCCCATTTCCAATCATGCAAGTGCTATAGCTTGGATCCACCTTAAATGTGCCAAGTTGAGGTCGATTCGTAACTTATTTTAAAGCATGTTAGCATTAACCTTTTATATTGACTCGTTGATGACACATTTTGTCGCTATGGTATACGAGTACAATAAACTAAATAATATTACAAATTATAAAGTGTTCCTCATTTTATTAAGTATGACAAGAATTACATAGTCTACGTTCATTGAGGTTTTGACGACCACATTCTGGATTAAACAATATGTAAACTTTGCTAAATCCTAATGTTTCGATGGATCTTAAAAAACTTTTTTAATGTCAATAAATATTCAATTTTGAATTTACAAAGTTAAATCCTATTTTTATTATTATAGACGGAAGTATTTTCTGAATTTTAAAAAGTTTGTTGAGATTAAAAAATAATGTAAATGATCAATCTATCGGTTTTGTCAATGAGTGAAAACATACAAGATATGTACGTAGTATCAGGAAGTTCTGAAAAATCAATCTAAAAATGCATTAATTCAATAGCAGTCACCCGCAAAAGGAGGAAATGATCCGACACTTTTGTTTTAAAAGAAGGAAGTATATATGTAGATGGTTTCGATCACTCTATATTTTTAATCAATATTTTCACTGGTCGATATCAAGCGAAGGTAACTGCTGTCACCTTCGCATTCAAGATGGCGGACGAAAATTGTCGATTTCAAATTTTTGGTTTTCATCGAATTAAAAAACAACTCATTTTAAAATTTAAAGAAACCTTCCTGGTTGGCCCATGTACCATTACATATACATTACGTTGTAGTATGCTGCATTTTGACAATGCTTCCTCCCATACCTCAAACTCCCCATACAACTCTTGAAGTGCTAAAAGTGATTTAGGGCACGTGGATTAGCACACACTAAAATAAATAGTTCATTATGTCAACTATTTAACAATAGATTTAGGAAGCTGTCTACTTTAAAAACAATTTTAGTGGATGAGGCAATGGTAAATGTGCATCGCTGAAGACGATGTTCTTTTTCGTCTGTTTTCTAATACACAATCTACTTAGACTCTGTAATGAGGGTACAACCTGGCTTACATTCTCATCCACAAAAATGTTAAGGGATTGAAGTGTGCCACTTGAACAATTATATCCATTGTGATACAATGCTTGGAAGAGATTGTTGGCTTTGATATATGGGATGTCCCGTTGCATCCCAGGGTCCCCTCTCTTGTAGTTGTAATGTAATAAACATTTAATGATGTAATTGGCAATTGCATCTTGTGCTATCTTGCTTCTAGCAATCGAGATGCATACAAGCATAAGTTCATTATTTTCTATCTGCTCAAGGTTTGTCGCTTGTTGCTTCTCCCATATATCCAAAAATGGTTGATTTTGTCGCTCGAGACAGAATGGATCTGCTCCATAACGATACAGTGGCAGAACAAGTTTTTTGTGGTGGGTCATGATTATGTTAAAAATTGCTCGTTTTATGTTGTAGTTGACATATGGCTTTGACATATGGTTAATAATCAGTAGTACACCTTTGAGATTCCATTCACTGTGGCCCATCATATTGCATAAAACGGATTCATCCACTTTGTAGAATCCATGTTGTAATAAAGCACTTAGTATATACACCGCATCACTAATGGATGTATTGCTTTCATCAGTTTCTTTTTGATCCTTCAAGGTTTGATCATTCGATTCTTGAAGCCCACGCTTGAATGGTACATCCCCAATAGATTCATACATAACAGCTTTAATGGATTTCGATAGCGCAGTTGCTCCTGTATCATTTTTGACATCATATTGTTTGGGGTCACTCCGATTAAGAATCATCTCTACAGCGATTCTAGAGTTATTCTCAACTGACAATAACAATATTGTGTCACCGTTTTTATTGAGT